TTTTTGTAATGTGACCAAAACTGGATGCAGTATTCCAGGTGTGGTCTTACTAACTAGGGTTTTATAAAGCGGTACGAATACTTCACATGATTTTGATTCTGTGCCTCTGTTTATACAACCAAGGATTGCATTAGCTTTTTTGGCTGCCGCCGCACACTACTGACTCATTTTTAAGTCATTGTCCACAAGGACTCCAAGGTTCTTCTCACAGTTACTGTTTTTGAGCCAGGCTTCAACTAATGTGTACTTGTACCTTTGGTTTTTCCTGCCCAGGTGTAAAACCTTGCTTTTCTCCACCTTAAAAATCATTTTCTTGGATAGGCCCATTGTTCAAGTCTGTCAAGATCTGTCAAGATGGCGCTTATAACAGGGAAAATTACTTAAAACTCCTAGAGGTGACATTTTTTTCAGAGTCACATGATAAGTGCTTTCCTGAGATGGCCGTTTCTGGATTGCAAAACTCCAGTCGATTGCTAGATGGCAGCCAAGGGATGTTTCTGTGTCCTGGGAAAGAACATGGCAGAGAGAAACAGGGATAACTAAACTCTGCTGAAGATGTTACCTAGCCTGGAAACGAAACGTTCAGAAACCAACCCACAAACTCAGAGAACCAATCTTCACCCTCATCCTATACCTGAGCTACAGATATTTGCCACTATTGCAGAGATAACTACTCTAGTGCGAAGTATTATCAAGCGGGCATAATTTCAAAGGATGCCTGTGTTTTGAGATTTCTTCTCTTATCTCTCTGAATATACAGTATAACTTGTTATCATCTGCAGAGTGCAAGTTGTCTTTGTGGTGTGGTTCCTAACAGCTGTGTGTTCTAGCTGAAGCTGAAACAAAGAACTAGGTGTAAAGAAATTAGGGTCATCCAATGAGTTATACTGTATATTGAACTTTTACCAATTTTCGTGATGCCACTCAAGTGTACTACATTGGAACTTATTAGTACTTCTCTCTTATTTTGTGATGAAATGTTCCCCTGATTTATTGTTACATTTAAATTTTGTGGAACATTTTACTCCCCAACTGGCCGTTGCATTTTGGTCTAGAGAATAAGAACAATCAGATGAAGTATGCATGAAAAAATAAGTTTTTCTTTGATATGTTAGTTTATTGGAATATATGTTACGTTTAAAAAGTTGCAGGAATCGTCAAGCTATGTGTTAGAAGACTGATAGTTTGAGTAACTACAGTACAGATGTATTTTGTCAAATACAATGGAGGAATCATAAAACCAAGTCATACTGTCTGTATGACTTTTGCAGAGGTGATGAGTTGGAAAACCTAAAAGAATGGGTTAGGGAATATATTGTCTCAGAAAAGATCTATCTGAAAGCAACTTGATGGCACATAATGTGTCTTTGTATTTTTAATAGGAATATAAGTATCCTATGTAACTTTAACATAAGGTTGTATATTGCTTATTTGGGTTTGAAACAACAAGAATCTGAACTTTTATTATTGGTCTATAATGCTTTTTTGAGGCTTTTAATTAGATAATACCCATGCAATACAGTGCTGCAGAAGCACAATCTAGCTAGGAAAGTGTAGAACTTGTTAGGATGAATCTTTAGCTAAAACTGCTTTGATACATTACAATCATCCCCTAATACAACTAATACAAATTAACTGTGGGAACCATCAATTGTTTAAAAAGTGTTAGTATACATTGTAGGCCTGCAGCATGTGCAATATTTAATGAAATAGTTTTAGAAAAAGCGGAGGGTGTCCAGTAGTCTCAGCAAATGCCTTATAAAACAATAGGATGTATTTTCATTCATTCAATCAGAATAGAAAAAATATCAACCAATGGTGTTCTTAATTCATATAACAAGATATCCTGGCAGGAGAACTAGTTTTAAAACATATATACACCCTGAAGTAATGTTTTAATAGGGTATAGCATCTGACCAATCTTTCTAGGCTCAGAAGGGAAGATTTGGCCTAGCTAATTTTGGATGGGAAACAATTACACAATACAGTGTGCAATAGTAGCTAGGGTGTAGGATGAGGGTGAAGGTTCATTCTCCGAGCTTGTGGGTTGGTTTCCAAATGTTTTGTTACCAGGCTAGGTAACATCTTCAGCAGCGTTTAGGGGATGTCTGTGTCAGTGTTCTACTTACATAAGGACTTCAGGTGTGGGAATGTCAAGTGAGGGTCTTGTGATGGGCCGGGTGTGAGTCATCAGAGAGAGGCTTGTGATGGGAAGGTACTTCAGGTAGGGGTCATTGGAGGGTGTGAATTAGTGGGTCAGGAGTGAATCATCAGCGGGAGGCTACATCTTGTGATGGGGAGACTATGTCAGGTCAGGGTCATTGGAAGGTGAATTGCTGGGAGGGGGGAGCCCACAGCCCACAGCCATACTCTGCCAGGAATTATCTAAAGACAAGACATAGAAGGATGAAAGAAACAATATCATCTACAAAATCAACTGTAACGATTGCAACCACTTCCACATGGGACAAACATCATGTCAGTTAAAAAGCAGGATCCACGAACACCGGCTAGCAGTCAAACACCCCGATCCCAAATCCCTAATCGCTACCCTCACTGACACCAAAAAACAACAGTTCTATTGAAGCAACACTAAAATCATCGGCCACGCTACCACCCGCCAGACTCAGGAGTTCATCAAAGCCTGGCACTCCACAAGCAATTCCATCAACAGACACACTGACCTACAACCAGCATACGAACCCCTCAGAGTACAAATCAATTGAACAGCCATCCAGAGACAGCACCAACCCTCAAGCCTCTCTCTTCCCCCCTCAGCAGTTCACCTTCCAATGACCCTGACCTGATATAATCTCCCCATCACAAGACCCATTATCAGCCTCCCACTGATGACTCACTCCTGACCAATGGTGGGATTCAGCTAGTTCGCACCACTTCGGCAGACCCGGTAGCTAATTTTTGGTTGCTCAGGCCCAGAATGGACTTCCAGAAGCGGCATCCACACAGAGAACCGGTTGTTCACATATTTGAATCCCACCACTGCTCCTGACCCACTAATTCACACCCTCCAATGACCCTTACCTGAAGTACCTCCCCATCACAAGCCTCTCTCTGATGACTAACACCTGGCCCTTCACAAGACCCTCCCTTGACACACCCACACCTGAAGCCGTTATATAAGTAGAACACTGACACAGACATCCACTAAACACCGCTGAAGATGTTACCTAGCCTGGTAATGAAACGTTCGGAAACCAACCCTCAAGCTCTGGGAATACAGTGTGTATAGGCTACGCTGGGATTTTTTAAAAAAAAATGTATAAGGCAATGGCAAACTATTCCTGTACTGTTTACAACAAAGCTATGTTAACCTACGAGTCACCAGGAGTCAAACTTGACTTAAATGAGATTACCTTTTTTTAGAGTTTAAAGATAGCTTTAAACAGGGCTTTTTTTCTCATAGAACGCCCAGAACGGAGTTCCGGTGCCTTTTTTGGATGGAACCTTGTAGGGTAGGCAAGGCAGGTTGTATGGCGTGTGTGAGTTCCGGCACCTTTTTTTTTTTTTTTTTTTTACAAAAAAAGCACTGGCTTTAAATGAGCTATATGACAATAGAGAACATATCCTATAAATGGGTATTCAACATGATCATTAACTTTCCTACCCAGAAGCAATATATTCCTAAATACTAGTAGGGTTTTAGGCAGTGGGGGGGGGTCACTGCTAACTTTGTGCTTAAGGTGAGATTAGAACTCACAGTCTCCCAGTTTCTAGCCTAGTGCCTTAATCACTACATCAGACTAACTGGCTCTTAAAATACTAGTTATTAGAGAGGACTTTAGTAATGATTTCCTGCTTGTGTCCCTGAATTATCTGTTTCTCCGCTGGTGGAAAGAGGAAGGAGGGCTAGATGATCATGTGGTTAGATTCAACAGGATTTTAAAAATAGTCTTTTAACAGAGCAATCCTACATGACTGAATTTGCACAAAACATATTCAGAACATTAATCATAATGGACTCAACCCAATATTCTAGGTTCACGTGACAGGCTAAATCATAAATTAGTAAAAGGGCTGGATTTGCCCAGTATGCTTGGTCAAAAAAGAATGAAAGTGATAGTTCATTGTGTTACATGAATATAGGCAATATGTTTACTTGGAGGTAAATGAGAATGGTGCTTACTCCACTGAAGTAAATGGAAAAAGGGATAGGGTTGCAAGGAGAGTACAAGTGAAGGTAAATATGGAGGAATTAGGGAAAATAAAATATAGATAAGAATATGCAAGGGTATCATAAGAAGGACAAATAGCAAATGTATATCTTCTTCATATCCATCCTTTGCCACTTTGATATTTTATTATTTTTTAACCATATGATAATTAACAATTAGAGTTACTGTGGTTACACATTGTAGTTGCATGGCACAAATTTCATAGCAACTTTATAATAAGAGAACAAAGAAAGCAAGGTACACCAGATTTTAATTTCTATCATACATTCACTACTAAAGTTACTATACTATTAATTGTTTTTGTTCGGTCCAATAAGGAGGAAACTTACATATGTATATATTTTGTTTTTATGTATTTATATCCACCTTTATTATTTTTTATAAATAACTCAAAGCGGCGAACCTATCCAACACAACTTTTTCTGCCATTTTCCCCACAACAACCCTGCTTACCAATACTTTTGCCTAGAATCTGGACCTAAACATTTGGTTTATTTCCTATGTTCATTCTTATTCTTGGTGTTTGAATAGTAAATGTAGAACATGGGAAATTAAAAGGGTATATGTAAGTATTTTTCTGTTTTTGCAGACACAAAGTATTCAGGGCTGTTTTGGGCTTGTGCCAATCAAAAGGCACTATTGCTTTGTCTGGAAGAAACTGGAACAACCTGTTTAAGTTTTTGTTTTCTTCTCTACTGATTGGCTGATCAATTAAGTGGGTGGGAACCAGTATATTTGTTGCTCTCACATGTGATGTCATTCTATATAAGCATCACCTTTCTTTGTTATCTTGGGGTGTGTTGCTAGCTTTCTAGGACTGTTGTGCTTTCTTTTAATATCCTTTGTTTGACACAGAACATAGGTTGCTCCTGAATGTTTCATTTTTATTTATTGTTCTCCCATGTAAAATAGAAGAAAAGGATTAATTTGGAGTGGTTAGATGCAGAGTTAGATTTTCTGTCTGTATTCAGGGAACAATTTGAACTTTTAAATAACTCATGCACATCATATTTGGCATTATCTAGATAAAAACTTTTTCCAGTACAGGGAATATATGAGCAATAAAATAAACAATAAAAGTATAAACACTCCCTTCCTTTTTTGCTCTCGGGTTTTCGGTTGGATTAGGAAAATAAAAATGGGCCAGCTGTGTACCAAGTGTGTTCAATTGCTTTACGACTTTGCTGTCTCGGTGAAAACACTGTTGTCAGGTGTGTTGCGGGACATTAGAGAGTGTTTGGCTGAGATCGCTGACTGCCCTTGCCTAAAACGAAAAAATGTTGAAATGAGACGGCTCTACAAACCTGTTCTTCATCCCTATGAAGAGGAGACTGCCCAAGACTTTCTGCAACACATTGAAAGAGGTGAGACATTTCTGCTTTTGAAAGTGTGTCAGCCAACTGTGTTGAATTGTTTGCTAGAGTTTTTGTTGCTTTGCTTAAGTCTGTGCAGTTTACGGTGAGGTCAGGGAGTTGTGTCATTTTGTTCCTGGTTGTTTTGTTTTTGTGAATAAGGGTGGAACAGAGGAAAAAGCCAAAATTTAAAAGTATCCCAAACAATAATTGGGCAGCTGATTCTCAATCCTAGACTTATTGACCAAATCCCTGCATTTAAATGTGCAGAGGTTTACTTACATGTCAGTTACCTTGATTTTTCTTGCCAAAGCTGCCACAGTGCACTTTTATATTTTCATTCAAGCATTCTCATCCCTTGGCTGGGTAAGAACCACAATACCTCTGGGTTCAGTGGTGTACCATGATGGCACATAATAACTGTTGTACAATAATAAGGGCCAAAGCAGCTATGGATTACCAAGCACTATTTTCTTAAAACAAATCTTCACTTTGAGATAATAGTCTTCTCTAGTTCTTCTAATAGATGAACAAAAAAGAATGTTTACTTTTCCAATTTCATTACCACATTCTCTCCACACTCATTACTAAAAAGAAGAAAATCCTAATGTTAGGATCTGGGATATCTGAAATCTTAGTAGCAAATGAAAGAGAGTGAGTGAATGAGAGAGAGGGAGAGAGAGAGAGAATTTTTATACATAACTAGAAAACTCGTGGGTTTTTTTATAAAGAAATACATAATGATGAATTTTAGCCTTTTACATTTATACTTACTTTTTCTTTATAAATTAAGTTCAAAGTAGTTTATAGGAAACTCTTAAAATACATATAGGGTTGAAATCTATCATCAATTTTCCCTGCAGTCACTCAGCATTTTATAGTTTCTGAACACATTAAATCCTCACTGAATTATTTGGAGAACTTTGCTGCCTTCCAGATTATTTTTCCCATTAAACATATTGGGTTGTTCTTGAGCATGCACTTGATCCAACGGTGCTTTGTCAAAAGGCAACTGGACGTTTTTCTTTTTTCCTCAAAAGTCCAGTTGCCTTTTGAAAAAGCACCTTTGGGACAACTATCACTTGGATGACTGAGAATCTCCATAGACATTAAGCATGTACTTATTTCCCTTTTTGCCTGTATGATTCCCATGTACAGCATCACAAATTCACAATTTCATCCGAGTAAATTTGGCAATCTACATGATTTTATTAATGAGATTATGATAACTCCTGTAGGAATGAAATCTTAGATATTGTAAATCTAAATTCATTTAGATTAGATTCATATTCCCTCAGTAAAGACAATCTGAACCCAAAATCAATAAGGACAAATGAAGATGGAGAGAAATTATATCAAGAAGGAAAGGTAACTAAGGGAAGGAAAGGATGCTAAGCTATTTTTTAAAAAAAATTAAGAACAAGGTGAGCATCTTTTAAATTTCTCTATCCACTATGTTTTCAAAACACGCACAGAGAATATTTTCATATGGAAGATTTCCCCCCCCCCTTCACTTACTTCTTTATGGATTCTCCAATATTTTCACTACTTCTGACACAATTCAGAATCTGTTTTTATATTTTTCTTTAAGGTTTTGAAATGTCATCACTTGGCAAGATCTCTTTAGAGGCCTTGAAGACCTTGGCATTTTCAGATCACCCGGGCTTGCAAATGCTTGCTGCTCTCTATTATCTACATATAAGCCAAGACTGTAAGTAATAGGTTATAACAGTGATGGTGAACCTTTTAGAGACCGAGTGCCCAAATTGCAACCCAAAACCCACTTATGTATCATCAGGTGCCGGGTGGGTGTGGCCCATTGGGTGGACGTGGCCCATTGGGTGCGCATGGCTATGGTGGTAACGGCAGACTGGGTGGGACTAAAAAGTTCAATCAATCAATTCCAACTTTGCGAGATTTTTTTTTCCTGCGAGAAGTTGAAATTGATTGATTGAACTTTTTTTTTTTTGTACACGGCGGCGGAGGCCTAAAGCGAAAAGGTTTTATAAAACCCAGCTGAAAGCCTAGCACTGGGGCAACGGTGCACGTGCCCACAGAGAGGGCTCTGCGTGCCACCTGTGGCACACGTGCCATAGGTTTGCCACCACGGGGTTATAACAAAGCACGTCCTCTCTAGCTGAACATGGATGAACAGGGTTTTTTTTAAAAAAAAAATAAAACAGAGACTAACTTAACATTAGAATTTCATTCATGCACAATTATATGGATTATTAGGATTCACAGGGGTTCAAGAGTGTGCTAAGTAAGGAGAGTTAAGGTAGATGTAATAAGATAATACAGGTGTAAGTTAAGTCAAAGCAAGGTGGAATGAGGCATCAGTACAAATACAAAAGATTTTAGTCAAAGCAGTGATGGGATTCAGCCAGTTCGGACCAGTTCGGCAGAACCGGTAGCTAATATTTGGTTGCCCGGGCCCAGAATGGATTTCCAGAAGCGGCATCCACACAGAGAACCAGTTGTTCGCATATTTGAATCCCAGCACTGAGTCAAAGTGAAAATTATAGCAGAGAGCAGCAATCCAGCAGATAGATGTCTCGTTTGATAGAAACTAGAGAGCTGAAGAAACTAAGGCAGAAAGAAGAGAAGAGAATCCTGACAGACGGAGGCCTTTAGATGACCTGACAACATCATCACTCTGACCAAATGCTTAAAGTATTTTCTTTGACTTGCATATTGAGAAGTATCAGGGAAAGGGGAGCCTTTGGGTCACAGGTCTCTGGGAAGTTTGGTGTATAAAAAGAAGAAGAAAATCATATATATATAAAGTGGATATACTAATCCAATTTAACCGTACCATTTTTCTATAGATGTACTTAATTTCATTCTCAGATCAAATTCCACCTTCCTTTCAAGAACTTGAATGTGAGTTCTTCTCACCTCTGCTCTTAAGGCAGTGGTTCTCAACCTGTGGGTCGGGACCCCATTTGGGGTCGATCGACCATTTCACGGGGGTCGCCAAGCAAGGTTGTCCGCCATTTTTTTTGTCCGCCATTTTTTTTTGTCCACCATTTTTTTCCCCTTTTCCGGCGGGTGCCTTACCTCCTTTGGGCTGGGCCAGCTGGTGGTCGGCCTGCTCCGTCTCTGCCGCTTGCCAGCTACGCCTCGGCCGGCGCAGGGGGCGGAACCACGCATGCGCGACGCTCCCGGGCAGGGAAAGTCCTCGACTTACGACCGGTTGGGTAGTCCTCGATGTACGACCGGTTTAGTCCTCGACTTACGACCGGTTTAGTCCTTGACTTACGACCGGTTTAGTCCTCGACTTACGACCAGTTGGGGTCGCGGCATTAAAAAGGTTGAGAACCACTGTCTTAAGGAATGGCAAGTTGGTTGTTCAGCTGCCTTGCAGGCTCATTTGGAGGGATCGAAATGTATCACTGATGCGGAATGTTATATCTTGGGACATAATCTTGCTAGTCAGCAGCTGTTTACTAGGGTAGCAAACATTTAGTTAAATAGGACCTATACTTGCAGAGAGTGGCTTCTTTGTAACATTAAGTCCTTCACTTTCAGGTGGAAGTTAAGATTACAGTTGAAAGGTGCATGCAGACATTCTCAATCTGTGAGGACGGAGTCACGTTGCTCTTATTTCTGTGCTATACTTTTCACCATAGAATCAGATGCTTAAGGGATGGAGGGCACACTTTGGCTGGCTGTTTCTTTGGTTTATACACTGGATGTACAGGAGATTAGCATTCTCTTTCTAGTACAGAAGCTCAAGGGACCATGGAGAAATTTTCTGCCTCAATTCTAGCAACTTGCTCCAATGGAAAGCGTGAAATGACAATCCAATATACCGTGAGGCCTTGCCTTAGAATTGTAGGAGCTGCTACATTAGAAATGTATGTGTGTGAAAGGCTGGTGGGTGGTAGAATGCATTGCTAGCTGCACTGTGTATAAATCAGGAGGGTTCACCTAGGATAGATTGGCAGAGGGCATCTTCCGAAAGCGGATTAAGATATCTCCTAGTTATGACTGCTTCTGTGCTTGAACGCCCACAGTTCCAAGACAAAAGCAACAGTGTTCTGACTGTTCAAATATTTCTTCTCATTTTAACAGTAAACGTTCAACTGTCCCAAGAGCATTTGGAAACGTATTATGCTTTGCTGAAGTCTAATGACTTGGAGGTTCAGCAGATTTCATCTTTATCCCTGCTCAGTTTTTTATTAGAAGGAAATGGTGAGTGGATAACCCAAGAATTCTCTTTCTGAGAAAGTTGAATATGTCACCTGCCTAAAACGTGAGTTCTTTTCAACTCTGCCCCTAAAGATAGACAAGTATATTGAACTGCCCTGCAGAATCATTTGAAGAGAGGAAAAGGCATCAGTAAAGCAGAATATTTTTCTGATTATGGACTAGATTAAAATATACATATTTACAAATTCATTTGAATTGATTTCATTTACATACAGTACAATTCAAATGAATGTAGTAAAACTTCTAACTGTGTTGAATAATTTTCCTCGTCCTATTAAAATTGTACTTTGATCACAATTGATGGAAATTTGGGGACAGTAAAACTCAAGATTGACAGGAGCACTTATAGCCCTAGGCCAGGGGTGTCAAACTGCCGGCCCATGGGCCGGTTTCATCATACCGGAGCCGCACCCATCCCATTGCCGGCAACAGCGAAAAAGCTCCGATACGTCACACGACGTCACGTGACGTTGTGAATTTGACATGTCTGCCCTAGGCACTCAGGTTTTTTTTGCATCTGAAGTGTGTGGCTGATAATAAATTTGTTAGATTCTTGCCCCAATGAAATGATTTATTTCATGGGAATTCTGAAAGTAGATTTTACTTCCCAGTCAAGTGGAACACGTTTCTCTAGTGCTGAGTGATGACAGTGTCTTTTTGCTGTCTTCAGTATTACTAAATACTAAATTTCTTCAGTATTGCATTTTTAAACTTTGTACTTAAGATTAATTACTCCTGAATTTATTTTGTATTGAATTTATAATAATGTTTAAGATTATTTGCTGCTATCACCTTTGTTTTCAAACAGTAACCAAGGAGCATGTCATAGAAATGGATTTACTTGAGCCAATCCTAGAGCTACTTGAATCAGATGACATCAATATCCAGGGTAATTCCTGTGCCTGCTTAATGATGCTGGCTGACTCAGGTGAGCAGGGTTCCCAAAAGTCAAGCCTATGGTAATGCTTAAGTTCAGCAACAGTTCCATTTCCTGCAGTTCCATATAGCATCAACCTTGTGAACTCTCAACTTTCCTCTTTCCGCTATGTGTTCAAAATGGACAGTGATTAATATTTATATATATGTATGTATGTATGTATGTATGTATGTATGTATGTATGTATGTATGGACATGTGTGTGTGTGCACGCATGTGTGTGTGTAGCATGTGTATATGTGTGTTATGTGTGTGGGTAGATATATACTTTCTTTTGAGAGCAGGCAACAGAATTGAATCTTTAATGTGGGCCAGTGTGCTCGCAGTAAAAAAAAAATGACAATAAAGGTTATCTTATCTTATATCCTGGCTTTTCTTTTTGAACTCTAATCTACATCCATTTAAGTTCCCCTAATTTTATCCTACAAAAACAATTCTATAAAAGAAAAGACGGGTTGAAAAACAGTGGCTGCCGCAAAGTCACTCAGTAAGGTGGTTAAGTGGAGAATCAAAACTAGCTAGCTCTCTCTAGCTCAAGTTCAACATCATAATTATTATACTGCACTGATTACAGCTATGGATACTTCTATTTCCCCTCCCCCACATAAACATACCTTAATTTGTCTGAAGAACTGTTGAATTATGCAGATATGTACCTTTGTATTATATGGATAGGAATGTTATTTGCTTCATTTATCTTTAGTTCAGCGGTTCTCAACCTATGGGTCGCGACCCCATTTGGGGTCNACATCCATTTAAGTTCCCCTAATTTTATCCTACAAAAACAATTCTATAAAAGAAAAGACGGGTTGAAAAACAGTGGCTGCCGCAAAGTCACTCAGTAAGGTGGTTAAGTGGAGAATCAAAACTAGCTAGCTCTCTCTAGCTCAAGTTCAACATCATAATTATTATACTGCACTGATTACAGCTATGGATACTTCTATTTCCCCCCCCCCCACATAAACATACCTCAATTTGTCTGAAGAACTATTGAATTATGCAGATATGTACCTTTGTATTATATGGATAGGAATGTTATTTGCTTCATTTATCTTTAGTTCATCGTGGAGCGCAGAGCAAGGTCTATAGCAACGGTTCTCAACCTATGGGTCGCGACCCCATTTGGGGTCGATCGACCATTTCACGGGGGTCGCCAAGCAAGGTTGTCCGCAATTTTTCCCCCCTTTTCTGGCGGGTGCCTTACCTCCCTTGGGCTGGGCCAGCTGGTGGTCGGCCTGCTCGGTCTCTGCCGCTTGCCAGCTACGCCTCGGCCGGCGCAGGGGGCGGAACCACGCATGCGCGACGCTCCCGGGCAGGGAAAGTCCTCAACTTACGACCGGTTGGGTAGTCCTCGACTTACGACCGGTTTAGTCCTCGACTTACGACCGGTTTAGTCCTTGACTTACGACCGGTTGGGGGTCGCGGCATTAAAAAGGTTGAGAACCACTGGTCTATAGAGATCTTCAGAAAAGAAGAGGGCAACAGGTGCCCATTAGGATGAGGCCCCTCAAGATTCTCAGGAGTATTCTTTCTCCCTCCCAAGTAGGCACTGCAATAAATGCCCAGCCTTTTTTATTGCAACAGTTGCCATAAAATCCATCCTACAGAATCCTGCTGTGCCCAAACAAATGTCACCGTGTCACATGACTAGAGTCTTAAACACATAACGAGAAAAGAAGATGGCAGCCCCAAAAGGTTGTTCAGCTTTCAATGCTTGGTACTCAAACCCAAGTTGACCTGACTAACCGGTGTTTGAAAGGAGCTTTAAACCAGGCAGCCAAACCGTCTTCTCCTTATTGCTTGCTTCTTCTGTTGCCATACCTCATTCCAGAGGGCACTTCAACTGCTCTCCTCCAGCTTGGCACTTAGGATACATATTTGATATGCTTTGCTTGATTAAAACGTCTGGCAAAGTTGTTATCCCAAGGCAACTTGTAGCAATAGTTCTCGTTGCAGGCTTGTAACGTTATTCATTGCACACAAAACCATGGCTTTAGAGCAGTGATGGCGAACCTTTTAGAGACGGAGTGCCCCAAACTGGCCCCGCCCCGCCTGCCCGCAGGGCCACTCACCGCCTCCAGGGCCCGCCGCAGATCGCCCAGGCAGCCCAGCAGCGCCATGGCCACACCCTCTGCCTGTGCCCCGCAGCATCAACTGTGCGGGATGGGGCGTGAGGGCAGAGTCTTCTCTACACTGCCTGGCTGCCATGTCCTTGGCTGCGCTGCTTCATGTGGGCCATGCTCGGGGGCGACTCTCCTCCAGGGGAGCTGCTGGTGAGGAGGGGTCGTGGGGGGAGGTGAGGCTGGGGCAACGACACGTGTGCCCACAGAGAGGGCTCCGAGTGCCGCCTCTAGCACGCGTGCCATAGGTTCGCCACCACTGCTTTAGAGTTTAGGACAGGGGTTGGCAACCTTGGCTCTTTTATGCTGGCTCAGGAATTCTGGGAGTTGAAGTCCACGAGTCATAAAAGAGCCAAGGTTGCCTACCCCTGGTTTAGGACAATGTTCAGTCTCTAATCTTGAACTATTGCTTCCAGGCTATCTCCTAACATAGCTAAACTTCCCTGAATTTCTCTTTTACTCTTCTGCTTCCTTCAGAGGCCTGTCGGAATGCAATTGCGGCAGCAGGTGGAACTATACCCTTACTTTCCCTTTCCAAATCTCATGATATTGGCGTTCAACAAAATGCCGTTCAAGCTATTTTCAACCTCACGGGATCAGGTAATGTGGCAGCCGTGATTTATTTGGACTATGCCAAATACTGTACAACAATAGTAAGGAAAAGGAGATTAGAGATAGGTTCCACTGAGGACTTTCTGGTAATATTCGTATTTGAATAATTTTTATAGAACAATTTTGGAAACACAGAAAATCTATGCAGCAAAGAGTGAATTTGTGAAGCTGGTTGCTGACTATTAAAGCTTTATTCCACGTGTGGGATCGGGGGGGGAGACTTTTATGAACAATGTATTGTTTTGAGGATGTACTGAATTAATAACGTTGTATTGCCATTTTGCATTTTAAAAAATACAGCATTTTATATATATAGTGCAATCATTTCCAGCCACTTCTTAAATAAATCCACATCACATAGAAATGCTACCTCATCAGGACACATTTTTTTTAGGACATACAATCTGGATTTTGTTGTCATGCAGAATAAGATAGCCACATTCTTTTAATTCTATTTGCAGCCTTTGTTAACAAAGTAATTACCCAGCAATGTTATTGTTTGTGTACGTGATAGCAATGAAATAAACTGGCTTTTGGAAGCTGCAGATTCTTTCATTTTTAAGTATATACTTACATAGCAGTGATAAGATCCAAGCAACTGATTACAGATGTCGTTTGATTGTTGTCTATTCCTTACAGAATGGATCCAAAGGGTTTTGGTTCGTCAAAGTGCTCTCCCAATTCTCACCCGTTTATTAGAGTCTCCTGACACAGAAGTACAGGTAAACTTATCCATCCAGTGAAACTTTTGAAACCGAACAAACTCAACAATAAATACTAGTCTGATGATTCTGGAAACATAATGCATAATGTTAAATTCAAAACTGCCTGACAGAACCTGAATCCTCAACTAAGCTGAAAAGACACAACAAAAGACAACAGTTTCTGGTACCTTAGGTCAAGGGTAGGCAACCTTGGCTCTTTTATGACTCGTGGATTTCAACTTCCAGAATTCCTGAGCCAGCCATGCTGGCTCGGGAATTCTGGGAGTTGCAGTCCACGAGTCATAAAAGAGCCAAGGTTGCCTACCCCTGCCTTAGGTAAAGGTAAAGATTTTTTTCCCCTGTTCAGTCATATATGACTCTAGAAGGCCCTGCTCATCTCCGTTTCTTAGCCGAGGGAGCCATTGTTGTTCCAAGACATTTCCTTGGTCATGTAGCCACCATGGACTATATGCTGAGGCGCATGGAACATTGTTATCTTCCCATTGACATGGTGCTTATTTAGCTGCTCACATTGCATGCTTTAAAACAGTTAGGTGGGCAAGAGTCTGACACGTTATAGATGTTGTTTAGTAACCGACTGATATTTAAAATAAAGTTTCATGGATGCGTGAGTCTTTCTATAAGAGATATTTTGTGACATCTGAGAACCAAGTGTACATATTTTGAAAGCAGTTGTGAGAGAGGCCATAGCAGCTTAAGCAACTGTGGTCTTGTTCCCTTTGCTGCATTTGTTCCGAGGTTTGAAAAAAGTACTCTGGAACAATTCGAGCACTACTTGTTGTTCTTGACTTTTTGTCTGAAATAATCACATACAGCCATTGCCTTATTTAAGTTTTAAGTTTTGAACCCCTATTTGATTTTCTTTCCATCCATATTGCGATAAGGGAGAATTGTGAAAAAAGCGATGTGCTCCTCCTTTCCCTTCAAAAGACTTTCTGGCTGTCTCTGTGTCTGTGTGTTGTATGTTTTATACGCAAAATAGATGTTTTAAATTCCTGGAATATCTTTAAATCCTTTTACCATATAGAAAAATGGGCCTGAACATTTTGCCCTCATCTACTGCAAACCTGTGCATATAGCTGTAGGATAACATGGGAGTAGAAGGTATTTGCCCCCCCAAAAAAAGTTGCTGCGTTACTGTTTGAGGAAGGTGCCCCAAAGTTTCTTTGCACAACCTTCCTTTTTGTACACAATCAAGTAAAGAAATTGGATTTACTGTATTGGGATTAAGAGTAATATTAATAGGAATTCATTTGGGACAACATCAAGGGTCTTCAGGTGGAAAATAGAAGTAATTGAGGCAGGCAATAATTTTCATGCTTGTAAGCCTCACAGAATAGATATGTGAATTTCAGTCTATCAGTTAATCTGAAGCCCCAATTTATGTAAGATCAGCTCCATCTCAATGGACTCTGTAGTCACTTTTCCTTTTTCAGAAAGTTGCTACAGAGCCCAGCCAGAAACATAGGAAGGAAAATTTCATATAGAATTGCCCCCAGATAATATTGCTGAAGCTTTGGGAGCCATTTTCTTTTCCAGTTCACTCTGTTTTCTGTACTTTTTCCAGTTTTCTGCAAAGAGGCAAAATAATATATTTCTACGCAGTGGCATTGCATTCCCTAAGAATCTATTGAAAACTGATTTTAAATATTATATTAGCATAACATATGGTCTTTTCTCTCAAACCTAAGCTCTGGTATTAGAATCCTCACATCTATTACAGTCATTTATTTGCTCAAGAGCTGAGCAATTCCATTTATATTCACTGCTTACAGATTTCTCACTTGACCTCCCAGAGCTTTGGATAGGAAACCTGAGCTTTTAACTTCAACCATTTATGGTCCTTCATAGGTGTGTGATGGGTTGTTAATACAGTTTTAGAACGTTAGGCCACAAGTGTCTCCATCTCAAACTCCTTATATATTTTTCATTTCTTGTGTGATGAGTCAAATATTCTTACTAAGGTATATGTTGTTCAGAAGTAGACCAGACGACCTGATCTTTATTTTTCCCACCCATCGTAGAATCCGCCAACTCTTGTCTCTTTACTGCATCTATACCCATTTTGTCTACTGTCCTTACAGTACTACAGCTGTGCTGCTCTCAGCAACGTGGCTACAAATTCACAGCACCACAAAGCCATGCTTCACGTCAGTGACAGGTTTCTTCTGCAGACTCTCCTTTCTCTCCTGTCTTCAGGTGTGGACAAGGTAAAGCTTGGGATTGTTGGATACGGATCAAGAGTATTGTCTGCCATTTTTCTAGAAGTTGAGTCATATAGGGTTTTTGTCTCCCAAAGGATATCGTGATTTCAGTGGAATATAAATATGCTTACAATTATATACTTGAATGT